GTTGAATGGTGAGTTTTGCTTACATAGTGATTAAACATTGGTGTTTGATTAAATTCTACATGGTACCCTTTTTTAGGAACTGCAACCTTGCGTTCTCCTCGTAAATCGGCTGCTGTAAACGACGACGGCGATGCACCCAAGCAGAGACCAGTTAGCATCGCTGTCTTGCCGCGTTCCCCACAGAAGCAGTCGTCTTTGAAGCGCACCAAGAGCCAAGTGGAGTTGAAGACCTCCGAGAAATCGTCCAAGGCTACCAGTGAAGACCAGGCCCATCACCGTTTCGAACTGGCTCTGCAAGAGTCCAAGGTAGATGCAGCCGATTGCGTAGTTTGTGGCAAGGCCATTGTTGCCGGCTCCCCCTTCTGGAAATGCAAGGAGTGCAAAGATGTGACCCACCGCAAGTGTCGCTCAAATGTCCATGGAAATTGCGGAACAAAGCCGACAGCTCCACCAGCTGACGATCTTAGCAGTATTTCATCTGTCTCGAGCTTAAATCTTAACACCGGAGATGTTACTACAGCAACCAGCGGCGAGTACATAGGATCGCTGATCTACAGTTCCGATGGACCAGACGATCAGGCTGCTAAGGAGATTGAAGTAAACTGCGCCTTCGAGGTGGCTGAGCAGCAAATCCTTCTCTTAGGGTGCAACACTGGCTTGTATGCCTACCACTTGGACTCCAAGCGACTAGTGCATATTTCTGGCCTCGAATCCGTCAGCTGCATGTCCATCTGCAAGCGTCTGGCGAAGGCCATCATGGTAGGCACGGTGGGGGAGAAGCTCTACCAGTGCGACTATCGGCAGCTGGAATCGCGCTGCCAGAGCTCCAGTGCCTGTCACAAGCCTGTTCTTGAGACATCTGCCATTGAGCTGCCCTTTGCCAATCGCACACCATCAGAAAAATGGAAGCTAGTGCTGATTTCCGATGAGGCGGAGAACGCTTTGGATTCAGTTGCCATTGCGGCCACTTCGACAAGGATTGTCATCTTAAAGTACGACCTTAAATTGCACATGTTCAAGCCTGTTCGAGCCTTGGACACAGCCACTCCAGTCACCTCTATATTCTTTACGCGTCATTCCGCTATTGTTAGTTCAGATAAGTTTTACGAGATCGATTTGGACAATTACGCAGCTGAGGAGTTTGTGGATCTGTCTGATAAGTCGATGGAGAACACTGCCAAATGTCAGCCCGTTACTGCTGTGCGTATTTCTCGGCAGGAATACCTACTCTGCTTTGCCGAATGTGGTGTCTTTGTGGATGAGTTCGGCTGCAGATCAAGGCCCTATGATTTAAACTGGGTGTATGCACCCACTGGTTTTGTTTACCGCGAACCCTTCTTGTTTATTGCCCACTACCAAAGCGTCCAGATTGTCCGTTTGCACCGGTCCTTCAGTAAGGAACTGGCCAACGAGGACAATTCCTCTGAGACTTCTGAGTCGCCGGAGCTGCAGCGCGTCTACTTGCCCCACTACATGTCCACTCTGCTGGCGAACAGTGGAGATGTCAATCTGTATGCCGTGGCCATTGATCAGAGACCATGCAATGGAACACAGAAGATCTATCTTTTGGATACTATGCAGGCGTTTAAGAAGAAGTTTAATATTTCCATGGAGACCATTTCGTCGGTGGCCACTTCGGTGACATTGGGTTCAACGATGACCGGCAATAGTTTGTAAATTATTAGCTGATCTTCGCAAGGTATAAGAAGAAAAAATTGTATTACTACAATCTCAGTAGTACTTAATGGTTAAGCTAAGATATTTTATATTGTAACTCGTTTTTTGACCATCTCTGAAATCAGTTGATAAATTGTAAGAAACATGATTTTAATATTATATAAATACTTTGTGTGCTGTATTCACAAATAAAACTTTATCACTATATTGATACTTTCAAATGGAACATACGGAAAATATGTAATTACTTTAAAAAATGTATTTAAATGTTAATTTATAACACCATTTGTGCGGTTAATAAACAAAATAATGAACAACATAGAAAGAAATAATGTGTAAAAGTGTTTCCGTCTTTTGTGATATTTTGTTGATACTTATTATTATATTTTAATATATAAATAATTTTAATATTTAAAACCTTAACCCCGTACAGGATAGCTTTTGGGGTTGTCGCCAAGCTTTTGGGGCTGATCCCAAGTAGCTTTTCCGCTACAGCTTTTAATGTCCCGCAACGCCGGGGGAAACGAAATCGTGGTGTTTGGCGTCTGCTCTCCGCTGGCATTACTGCGATTGAGGGGGTTGCCGCTGGACGCCGGACTGCAGCAGTACCGTAAATTGTACCAATTGATTTCAATTTGTTTCACGCCGGTTGAGTGGAGCGCCCTCCGACAACGATGTTTGAATCGATGCTAAACCAGTGCGCGAGTCGCATGGTAGCGGACTCCACTACCTTGGGAATGGATGGACTGGATGTGACCAAGACGATGATTTGCCGAGCCTGTCTGGTGCTGCTGGGGCCCCAGGATGCCTCCTACCATCTGGACAGCGAGGGGGACTTGGCTATGAAATATTTCGGCTGCACTGGAGGCGATCCGGGGAATGTATTCCATCCCCAGGACGATGATTTGCCACCCCAGTTGGTCCTGAAAAGCATCTGCGAATGCTGCTACCAACTTGTGCAAAAGTTTCACGACTTTCAACGCATGTGCGAAGAGTCCTCGCGCAACTTTGAGAAGCTGCTCCTAGACATCGACTTTGAATGCACTAAAAATCAGGATGATATCAATATGCCCGACTTGGATACCCCTTCGGAAAGTAATGAATCCACTAATCAGGAAGCCCAAATGGACGCACCCTGCATCGAATCAACGGAAGAGATTGTGAGTTTTATCTGGGCACAGGTGTGCCTCCGCATAATCTAATCTATAATCACATTCGGTGCTTGACGTGTTGCCTAGCAGCAAAGACAATACTTCCCCGTTCGCCGCCATAAACATAAACATTTGGGCGTTTGTTTGTGTTATACTATATTTGTTTGTGTTTGGATGTTTGATATGATAGGGCTCGAAAAGAAGGCAGGTCTAATCTATCGGTAATTTTTAATTTTTCCATTGCACACATATAAATGGTTAAATAAATTAGGTCAGCAGTTATTTGGGACTCCAAATTAAACGCTTATTTTTAACACATTCTAAACATATCCAGTTATATCTAGATTACTCCTTATATAGTTAAGATGCTGAGCTCAGAAACCAATATGGGTAGTTCGGATTTTTTAACTGTTACAAAATTAGGATTTATTTTCATATCAATAAAGATTAAATTTAAATACAGTGGCCCACAACTTAAATGATGCAGTGCATACCTAAAACTTTGACGCTAGTAAGCGGTGGATTTAAAAGGAATGTATTTAATACATTCTAAAAATATCCAGTGATATCTAAATTACTCTTTATATACTTAAGGTTCTGAACTGAAAAACCAACATGGGTGTTTGGCTGTTAATAGTTTATAGTTTATTTAACTTTGTTAAAAAATTGAAAATTATTTTCTATATCAATAAAGATTGAATTTAAATATGCAGTGCGAATTTAAAGCTTTGGAACATTAAAAAGAATACTTGAGTTTCCAAGGTATCTCTTAAAAGATAATAGTAGCAGTATTAAAAAATTCTATTCCCAAAAAATGCAACATTTTTTGGTACGCCTTACGAAAATCCCTTTTTGTACATTTTCTTATTATATTTTTGAGATTACATTTTTTTAAAAACTTATTTTTGGAACTAACGGACCTAGTACTCATACAAAAAACATGTGAATTTTCTAAGCATTGCATTTAAGACGGCATCAATTAAGCTGTGATGTATTAAAACTGTATATACCATTTATTGACGTAACAGGTAAATCTTATATTTGGAACTTTAATCTTTCATTTGATCCACTAACTAGCGTCAAAGATGAAAGTGTGCACTGCATCATTCATGCTGTGAGCCGCTGTATTTTTTTTATTGGAGCTATGTTTAAAGTATTTACCAAACAACATTTTTTAAGCGGAGCATTGACCCTATCCTAAATTTTGAAGTTCTAACTTTGATTTCTCAATTATAATAAATAAAGAATTATTAGATAAGAGAAGTAATATAAAAAGTAAAATTATTATATTATTATAAGTAAAATAACCATGAACTTTATAGTATTCCGATTTCGCTTTTTCACGCTCTAATAAAAACGATAAGATTAAAAAGAGAATAATCTGATAACAGATGATTTGTCTTTGTAATAAATTGTATTATCTACATTTCTATTTCATATACATATATACATAGATCACATACCCAAACTCTTTTTGGCTACAGTACTTATATATTTCTAATTTCTAGGAGGAAGTATACATAATTGAAGACGAGGCGGTCAAGCAGGATCTTGGAAAGGATAAATTACCCATTTCGTCCATTAGAAAGTTGCTGAAAGGAAAGAGACGAAGAGGAGAAAGACTCACCCTCGAGTGCAACATATGCCGTCGAGGCTTCTACAAATCGTCGCTGCTGGAGGCCCATATGAAGCAGCATGAAGGTCTGAAACCGTATACCTGCGTCCATTGTGCCAAGAGTTATGCGAGGGCCAGCCTGCTAGACACGCACCTGCGGGAGATGCATCATAATACCTCCGCGAGGGTAACCTATCCCTGCCCAAACTGCAATAAAGTGTACACAGCTGATCGAAGTCTCAAATATCACTTAAAGAGGGCACACGAAAGGAGTCATAGGCTAGAATCCCCCGACTGCCTGCACATTTGCGAAGAGTGCGGAAAGTCCTTTGTGCGCAGGGCCCTTCTAACACGCCACAAAAGGATCCATGGAAACGCGGATTACTCCTGCGAATTCTGTGAGCAGAGATTCTACACTAAGGAGAACATGATAGATCATCTGCAGCGAAGACACGGCAACAAGAACCTACTCAGGTGCCGAAAGTGCGGTCGCATTTTCAGGAGCAGCTCAGCCCTCATCACTCATCTGAAAAAACACGAGTTGGCCGGCGAGTTAATGTAGTTCAATAATTTGTTTTATTTGTGGTTTCAATAACATCAAGCTAACTCAACTGTTACAATGATTCGAATTTCGTGGAATTTGTTACACCAGTAGTTTGGGATAATGCCGCATGAATGGAGATACTAAGACGAGTGGTTGAATCGGTTAGGCTGCCCTAAAATTAGCTAACATTCACATAATGGCCGGCGCAGCACAGTCGCTTAAAAATCATCAGTACAAAATGCGGGCGGCGAAGGCGCTCGTTTCAAAATGATGTGTATAAAAACAATTAACTAAAATTTATGCTTAATCTTAAAGAACGGACAGTTTTAAAATTACATTACCAATACATTCATATATCATTAATTTATGGGGAGGAAAGAAATGAGAATAAAAACCATAGTTTCCGTCTATCGATCGACAATTACATAAGAAATGCACGGGGTTCTTTGCCAAGGAAATATCAGCATTAAACGATGTTGAATTGGTTCGGTGATACGGTGGTGATTGATGATGATTGGCAGTAGGGTCGGATGATTGGAGTTGCTTGCACTATATGTAAATAAATACGCCGCAATATGAGCATAGGATAGGACTGGAATTGCCGAACTCTAGGTGTCCTTGTGTTTCTCATAGAAGGCGTCTAGATACTTTTTGTACTCCTTCTGGTCGTTCCACATCATCGCGGCCTGCGCATTCAGTGGACTCTCGTTGTTCGGCTCGCCCAGCAGGGATTGAATGGACAGCAGAATGGTGCGCACATCGTATAGGGCCGACCACTTGTCCTTCAGGATGTCCAGGCAGATGGCGCCCTGCAGATCAACGTTGGGATGGAAGCAGGACGTCAGGAACTTGACCACGGGCGCCGCGTACGGGTAGGAGTTGGGGAAGTCCAGGGACAGGCGGTACGTCTGCCCCGAGTACACGGTGTTCCGAGGACCCGCTATGGTGCCCACCCACTTGAAGATGTTCTCGCCGTCCGGGAACGCCGAAATGCCCTTCTCGTTGGCCATCATCAGATTCATCAGTTCCTTGTGCAGTCTGTGGGATGACGGGGGTATTATCTAGTGCTCCCTGGGGCCATCCCGACCATGTGCTACTCACCTTTTACTCACGGCGTGATTGTCTTTCACGGGCAAAGAGTCATCGCTATGCTTGGTGCCCCCGCCTCCTGCTCCACTCTGTTCGGGGCTGATATTCTGCGCCATGGCTATGTAGGATGCTATCCGCTATTTGGTATACGGTGTCCTAATTTTGCGCGCTTCGTGGCGGAACGGCTTAAATGATCGCTAATGATTATATGTACTGTATAGTGGAAATTTTGTTGATCGGTCGGAATACGCGTCTGTTGCTTTTTCGGATATTTTTTTCACTTTTGTGTGAAAACAAAATGGAAGGAGAACGAGAAGAAACTGTGTTTGGGCAGGGTTGTATTTCAGGTTTTTGGGGGGAAATCGATGTTTTCGGCCTGCTGGCTGGTCACACTGCCGAATGATAAGAAAAATATTAAAATAAATAAATTACGTTATTATTATTAATTAATATTTCCTATTAGAACGTACTAATAGTTAAATATTTTATTTTGTATTTATTTTGGATAAATTGTTTAATTTTGGTAGGTCACCTGTGGCACAGTTCCAAGAAAAAATATTACAACAATATTAAATAAAATGCTATTTTATAGCACAAAACTATTATATATATAATTTTTTTTATTCAAATGAAATTTTTAAATTTATGGTGAGGAGTTGCCACCTGGAGCTTAAATGCTTTACAACACCTTTAGGTACACATTCTTGTGTACGTATGTCGTGTACCTATTTCAGATCAAAATCAAAACATTGCAACTTTTTTTTACTCCAATTGAAATGGAAGAAAACAGCTTGATCTATGGTCTAGAACTCCAGGCGAGGGCCTTGACACCCCAATATGGAGAAAGCAACGATGTGTGCTTCTTTATAGCCACAAACTCCTTGAAACCCACGAACCAAGTGCATTTGATTCAGTACGAGGAGGAACAGGGAACAGTACAATCAAAGGTGAGAATCTGTAACTCCCAAAGGATCTACTAAATATATCTATAACCAGGTTTTCGAGCATGCCTTGGGTGAAGTGTGGAAACTGAATAGCTGCCCCCATAATCCCCGCCTGTTGGCCTCCGTCTACAATGTCCAAAAAGGAGCACAGGTGCTCACTCAGTCGGCCTTATTAACACTTCCTGAGGATCTAAACCCGGATCCAGAACACCTGAAGTCGGAGTACCTGCCCTGGGAGCAGGTCGAGGTCCTGGACACCGAATCCCTTGGAGAACGTGTGAAAACCATCGAATTTCACCCTAGTCAGGAGCAAATCCTTGCCTGCGTGGTGGACAACAAGGTGGCGGTGATGCAGAGGGCGGAAGCCTCCACCCGCGTGGTGGCCGAGGTGCCCACCAGTGGATCCTCCAGCGGATCTGCCAAGCACACGCTGCATTTCACCACCGGCAAGTGGTCGCACCACCATCAGGGTCACCAGTTCCTCACCCTCCAAGATGGCAATCTGAGCGCCTACGATGTGCGCGATACGCAGCACTGTGCATGGAGCATCAGCGATGCCCACGGACAGATGGTGCGCGACCTGGATTGCAATCCCAACAAGCAGTGCCACCTGGTTACGGGTGGGGATGATGGCTACCTGAGGATCTGGGATTGCCGAATGCCAAAGGCTCCGGTCTTCGAGCGCTCCGATCACTCCCATTGGGTGTGGTCCGTGCGCTTCAACACATTCCATGACCAACTGCTCCTCTCCAGCTCCAGTGACTGCAAAGTGCTGCTCACTTGTGCGGGGTCTGTGAGTTCGGAAACTCAGGCTCAGGCGGGACTAGATGACTCCAACTTCAGTGGAGCAGAAACCGAGGAGAGGCACAAACTCCTGCCAGATGGTCTGCTGCAGACTTTCGATCAGCACGAGGACTCTGTGTACTGCGCCGAATGGAGCAATGTGGATCCCTGGATCTTTGCTTCCCTTAGTTACGATGGCCGCGTCATAATATCAAAGGTACCCAAGCAGTACAAGTACCAGATTATATTTTAAGCCAACTCGTAAATTATTATAAATATACCATACAGATAAACCTAACTAATCCTTGGATGTAGCGGATTAAATTTAAACCAATAAGTTATTATACATTATAAATACACTGTTAAACTAAAGGTAACTAATAAGGGTAGAGCTGTTCAACCTGTATCCTCAGAAGTGCAGTCGGAGGAGTCATTAGGATTGGCCGTTTCCACGGAGCAAACGCGTTTGATCAGCTCGTTTTCGATCTCGACGGTGCCATTGTCCACGGCCTCCTCCATTTGCACATACTCAATGGTGGCAGCACTTTTCTTGGTAGCTGCAGTGGGTAGGATAGGTTTTCCTGCCGATGGAGCTGGTGCTTCTGTGGCCTTTTTGGCCTGGGCTTCCGTGTCATCCTCTGCTTCCTCCGCCAAACTGCTCCTTTGCGGCTGCACTTCGGCATATATGGCGGGAAACTGCAACTGCAGCTTCTGCTTGATGACCCGTATCTTTCGGAATATGTAGTCCAGATCCTTCTTCATGTCATTTAGGCATTTTACATGCCTTTTGAAATCCTCGCTGGCGCTTTTCAGGCGACTTTGAGACAGGGCATTGCAGTTTAGGAGCATCTCATTGGTTTTTTCGAAGCGTTGCAGCCTAAGTAAGATAGGTAATCGATATGATTAAGATAATCTCTGTAATTAACCATATAGCTTACATTTGCTTTTGAGCCCTTATCATGGTTTCCACATCCCCCTGATTCACCATTCCTGCGAGACTCTGGATAAAAGCCTCTGCGGCGGAGTTACCAAAGCCAGTGAAGGATTCCAAGTCCGGAGTGGCATCCTGGGATTGGTGCACATCCGTTAGGCCCAAATGGCTCATGGTTGTCTATATGCTTGCATTATAATCATGTTTTACAATTACAATTGATCTCCTTACTTACTTTTTCTTTGTGAAAACGTGTGGGGTTTTTTGTGCGCGTTGGCAACAGTTTTGTTTTGTTTAATTTAGCAGATCCTATAATAGATTTTATGTTTCTAGCAAGTTTTTATATTCCTATCTATTTAAAAAGATATTTTGTTTAGATTTATCATGAAAAAAATACATTTTTTAACAGCTGTTATAGGTACTAAATTCTAACCAGTGTTGCAAACGGCGAAGGTGCATAACCACAGTGCCGTTATTTATTTTGAATATTTTACTTTATTATTCATTTTTGAATTAGTTTTTACAAAGCAATTATTTTATCATTGTGTGTATGTAGTTAATTTTTTTTTATTTATTTTTAAATTATTTATTTTTAAAAGTGTTTTGACTATTTTTATTCAAGCACTGTTTGGCCACACTCAGACTTACCGGCGATTTTTTGCGATCGACTCTATTAATTTATTCTTTATTTAAACGTTAAAAATGAAGCTTGCTCCGACTGTAAAACTTAACAATGGCTATGAAATGCCGATTCTGGGTCTGGGAACCTACAATGTAAGTTTATCATTCTTATCAGTGAAGCTAGTCAATCATCTCGGAGATATGTTCATAGAACATTCTACCTTCCATTAAAGCACAATTGTGAAATTGAAAAAAGTAATTATGTTATCTGTAGCTAAAAAAATCTCGGTGTGAGTCTGCAGTGCGCCACGCCCTAGAACTGGGTTATCGGCATATAGACACCGCCTATCTGTATAGGAATGAAAGTATTATAGGCAAGGTTCTGGGCCAATTTCTGGGCGACGGGAAGATAAAGCGAGAACAGGTGTTCCTTGTCACAAAGGTATATATAAGTAATCATGTTCCGGAATATATAAACAGACCAGAAATCGTTATCCCATTAGCTGTGGGACATATATCACGAACCCAAGAGGGTGAAATACGCCTGCGAACTGCAATTAAAGCTACTCGGCGTGGACTATGTAGATTTGTATCTTATGCACTCGCCTGTGGGCGTGCCCTATGTATCAGATGATGATCTGATGCCCCATGTTGATGGTCAACTAAGGACAAAGTGAGTCTTCGAAAGAACTATCCCTCGACAGAAACTGATCTTTGGATTTCCTAGTGATGTGGACTATTTGGACACTTACAAAAGTATGGAGCACCTGGTGGACCTGGGACTTGTGCGCAGTTTGGGATTGTCAAACTTTAATGCCAATCAGCTGCAGAGGTTGTTAGAGAATTGTCAAGTCAAACCTGTGGCCCTTCAAATCGAATGTCATCCGGAACTGGTGCAAATCCCGTTGATTGAGCTCTGTAAACTGCACAATATCACCGTAGTCGCCTATTCGCCACTCGGTCGTCCCAAGACCTGCAATCCCCTACCGAAATACTACAACGATCCCAAACTGCTGGCCTTGGCAGAAAAGTATGGCAAGACCCCCGCTCAAGTCATCCTAAGATACTTGGTATGAAAACACCACCAATAACATCGTTAGGAACATATTTAATAGCTGATAAACGCTTCACAGATCGACATTGGCACGGTGCCCATTCCAAAAGCTGCCCAACAGACCCATCTTGTCGAGAATCTGGATATCTTCGATTTCCACTTAATGCCGGAGGAGTTGCTTCAATTGGGGACCTTTAATCTGGGCCGGCGAATCTGGAAGTTTGAGAAAGCGAAAAGTCATCACTTTTATCCGTATTGAAAATGGAATATATATAGTTTAGGGCTAAAATAATATCACATCATACTTAAGGTAAAGTCTCTAGCTCAGAATCTTATAGCGGTCTAATTATCTTGTTTTGTGTATTTTGGATTAACACAAACTAATTTAAGTTATTTTCAGTTTATTGGTAATTTTAAGTTATAATTTGTGAACAACATTCATACATTCTTATTTTGGAATATGAACTGAAAGTCAAATTTTTTCGAGATTTGTAAATGAATAAAGCTCCAAGTTGCATGAGTTTACGAATATATAGTACTTGTGACAATTCACTTGTAAAGTGCTTACCTGATTATAGTATAATTTAAGTAATATATTTCCGGATTATAGTCTATCAAATCTTTCACGAGCCTTGCGACGTTGATCATTTATATAATTGGGGATGTTGTTTTGATTAGTCATTTCCCGACTTTCTGAAATTTGCACAACGTCTGGACTGAAGTGAACGCGATGTGGTCGAAAATAACGATATATAGATATGCAAATACGCATTACAAAACACATTTCTGCCTCTGTTGAAAAAAAGGATGTTAATATTGAAATTCATTTTGTATATTTGCAGTCCAAGGACAACGAAGGCGAGGCCGCTGTAAAGCACGCGATCGATGTGGGCTATCGCCATATAGACACTGCCTATTTCTACCAAAACGAAGCCGAAGTGGGCAAGGCGATCCGCGATAAAATTGCAGAGGGAGTCGTCAAGCGGGAGGACATTTTCCTTGTTACCAAGGTAAGTTATAGCAGAGAAGCCTTTATAGTTTTATCAATACAAATAATATTTTCTTTCAGCTCTGGAACGTTTTCCACGATCCTGAACGCGTCGAGGGCATTTGCCGCAAGCAGCTGAGCAACTTTGGCTTGGACTACATCGACCTGTACCTGATGCACATGCCAGTGGGCTACAAATATGTGGACGAGAACACCCTCATGCCCAAGAATGAGGACGACGTGCTCCAACTGAGCGATGTTGACTACCTGGATACCTACAAGGCGATGGAAAAGCTAGTGAAACTGGGGCTGGTCCGCAGTATCGGAGTATCGAACTTCAATAGCGAACAGCTGGGACGAGTCTTGGCCAACTGCGAGATCAAACCTGTCACTAACCAGGTGGAGTGCTCTCCTGCCCTTAACCAAAAGGCTTTGACGGCCTTCTGCAAGAAGAACGGTGTGACCTTGACGGGCTATACGCCTTTGGGAAAGCCCAAGCCCGACCTCCAGAAGCCGGACTTCATCTACTCCCCGGAGGTGGCCGCTATTGCCAAGAAATACGGCAAAACTGGCCCGCAGATCGCCTTGCGCTATTTGGTAATTATGAAATTAACCTATCTCAATGATAGCAACTAATTTTCGTTTATTCGTCAGGTTGGTCTGGGTGTTATCCCCATCCCCAAGTCCTCGAATACTAACCGAATTGCCGAAAACTTCGATATCTTCGATTTTGAACTGACCGCCGAGGAAATGAGCGTTCTCGATGGGTATCACACTGGCGAACGCGTTGTGCCATTGAATTTAATCAAGGGCCTGAACCACAAGTACTATCCGTTTGCAATTGAGTTTTAAATGCAGAGTTGCTGAATTGTTTCAAAATATAAAAGTGTATAATAAATTTGTTAGACAAATGTAAATCTGTGACAATAATTTGAATGTACGAATGTACGTACATACAAATCCCCGATACACAAGGTCAATGTGCCTAGTTGCTCCATCAAATCTAAGTCTGTTTTATGATGATCCGTTCACCTCCCTAGAAAGTACGGAATATCCAAAAAAAGGTAGCAAATGGGAGCATCAATCTTTGGCTCGGCACGTTTGACATTCAAGCTTAAAGGTGGAAATGTTTGAATAAGACCGAATGAAAATATTACGCCTTTACGACTAATGGTAATATAAGCAAAGCCAACTGAAAGATCAACAAAGGAGAGTGTACTCAGAGTAATTAAAATTATAGTTACGTCTGGAAAATACGGCATTACCAGCATATTTCATTCATTTAAATAGCTGTGTAGTTTAGACATTGATTTATAGAAACTGTGTATACAGTTGAGATGCCCTATCCCTTGCCAAACCCATTTTCAGACTAAAAATAACTTAAATTATTCAATTTTATCGACAAGGAATGGAAAAAAGGTTTGTATCTTAAAATATAATTCATCTGTAATTTTGGGTTAGATATGATCTTAATACAAATACGGTTTCTTGGTAGGAAGGCTTATTATAATCTTTATATTTGTGTGAGAATAATGTCATTGGTAATCGGGTCCACATAAGCTTAAAATTATAAGTTGTTTTTAATGGAACTTTTGTGTTTTATCAATGGATCTAGAATTCTGATACTTACCAAAAATATCATGCGGAAGCCATTAGTTGCGCCAACCGCAGAAATGAAGCATGAAAGTATTACGGCTATTAGTTGATGTACCTATTACGCCTGGATGGGATGGCTAATTATTTTTGGATTGCTCAGTACATTTGGGTTAATCGCTGCTAGCGACCTTTGTAAGTAGCACCTATGCCTGGGTTGACGTCACCCCAAAACGCTTGCAGATGCCCAGAGATAAAAGTATGAGCACGCGCTCAACGAAATGGGGGTCGCCTAGCCCCTGATCCCCCTTAAACGGTGGCTAGGAAGCGAGGAAGGGATCGCATCCCCGAGGCACTTAGAGGAGGATCTCTGGCATGCGCCACCTTGACCCAGGCCAAGAACATCGTAATGAAGACGGCCGCCTTTCGAAATCACTTTCCATGCGGATGACAATCCCCAAGTTCAGATTGGGCTCGGGTTGCTCCACTGAGCCGCCTCTCCACTCGAATAATCCCACTCAACCTCCAGCCGACCGACTGAGTGAAATCGCTTCGGCCAAGAGCGAGGTTTAAATAAATTTTCAGTCCAAAAATTGGCAGTTTCGCTCAAAGCGTGCCCACGTTCACATCGTCGCCAGTTTCTGCGGAACTCACACGGATATTCCGGCGATCAATTAGAGCCCGGAGTAGTTCAGACGGATCCCCTGCAACGCGTATAATATTGTTATATAAGATTAACAACTTGTGAAATCCGCAGTGCCAGTGCGTAAATCAAAAGTGAGTTGAGCTCAGAATAGCCCCATAACATCTCAAATTAGCGGGGATGGCGATGGGTTTGAAAAAAGGACGGCTTCGTGTATTATGTAAAGGCCCGAGAAAAGCTTGTGGCAGAGAAAAACTTTCGCTTTCACCCAAGTACAGCTCTTTGCAGCTGTTGCGCATGCGCATGCGCAGCGACATTTGTAGATTGCCACTGTTTACCTGGGATTACCAGGCCAGACTTTGATTGCCCAGCGAGATATTTTAATTTTATGTTCGAATTTTACGCAATCCTAGTTTACACCTATCAGTTATATTTTTTAATTGTAAAAATAAATTGTTAAAAAAAAAGGATATTTTTTCAAGACCTGAAAATGCATTGGGCATTTAAGATTATTGAAAATCATAAAAGAATAATTAAATGAAGTCATACCTTAGATATTTTTTAAAATATATAAAATGGATTAGCCTTTATTTCTTTTTAACTTCCTTAAATAAAATGTGATCTTCTGATAAGATTTACCAAATTCGATAAAGCTTTTATATTTGTAATTTAAACTCTATTATATCTCAAACTCTATGCACACTAAGTTTTTTCTGAATGCAGTTTTTATCTGTAAATATCAATCCTAAGCTCTAAGTTTTTTTTTCTCTTTGAGGTATTTATCTTAGATACTGACAGAAAAGTAGGTGCGTGGGTGTAACCCAGTAAAAATCATAATTTTTGTACAGTCTTTTAATTGCGCTTTATTGACCCACTGCAAGTGTTTAGCGGCAGTCAATTATTTTACGGCCAATGGTTTTGAGCTTCGAGAGTTTTGTAATTCTGTTTGCTGGTTTAATTGCCGCGCCACAAGAGGCCTGCAAGGTCTTCTCGGCCGAAGCCGAAGTTGGCCAACACCGTAAAAGCCAAGTGGTTGGAAAACGTACATACACAATGCAATTTGTGCGGTTCGCATATAAATATTCATGGCAAGTGGGTATTGTGCAACTGCCAGGGACGCAGCCATCGACGTGACGATTTCCTTTGACCAATAGCCACGACCTCGACTGTAATTCTGGGTGCCACAATAAGAGTCGTAAATCCCGACCGAAGTTACCAGTTACCAGTGCAACTAATGGAGTTTTAAGGCCCTGCCTTGACCAACGACTAAGCCAGCGAAATAGCCTTGGCAGCGGACGTGGTGGGCCTGGCTAATGAATTCCGCTGATTACAGCGCCATTTGATTCTGACACATGAATATAAAGCGCTACTCATCCGGGGAACATTAGCGAGCCTTTGTCGTAATTGTGGCAAAATGCAATCTGCATGATAATCCGGAAAGGCAGATGCAAATCGGCAGGTCGTAAATTCGCAGCTCGCCTATTCGAAATTCGAAACTGAGCCAAAGCAAGCCAATATTGCCAATGTGCACGGTCATGGGGTGGGATTGAGCAAGTGCACTGGAAAAAATTGGGGATCACTAAAGCGAAAACCTTGCTCTTGACTTTTGGTTATGCAAGTATCATAACTCTTGTTTGTGAATACTGAGAGGTATTAACAAACATCAACTCATTTTGGGGATATCATTAAGAGTTACGTCAATATAAAGCTATCTTATTAATGATACAAGATTTTACTTATACTTTTAAAAAAGAACTGTTTGATATTTAGGAAATAATACATTATTTAATAATACTACTAATACTAAAAAATTAACTTGATTCGGAAACCTGTTTCATACCTTGAAGTAGTGATAGGAAATCCATTTGGTGGACCAAGGATCCATCTTATGTCTTTTAATATTTTTTTATTTAAAAAGTATTTACATATTGCTTATATATTAGCTATAAGCTATATCTATAAGGAATAGTGCGAGTTCCGATAAATAGTTCTTACCTCCTGGTGTAGACCTTACAACCCTTTTTCTCCGTGTAATGGGAGTGTATTGGGTCGAGCGGTGGGATGGGAAAACCAGTTTTGAGCATTTGTCGGGCTTGCACTCTTTACTTTTCACTATCTTACCAAAAGTCGGCGATTTTGGTGGGGGATCGGTAAGACGGACGTACTTCGGTTTGGCAGCTTTTATGCTGTGATATGATGTAACCAACGGGCTAATTGGCGGAGCGGAAAACGAAAACGCAGAAGAGACGATAACGAAATTACAAATCGCATGTCTTAGTGGATATTGGATAGTGGACAGTGGACAGCGGACATCTTCAGCACGGCATGCCATCGCATAAATGATCGAGTTACCAAAGCCCGACTCTCGGGCCATGTATTCCCTGGTATACCACATACTTAAGTTGGACGTATTTAAAGCAGGGCAATTCCACATGTCAATTTTTTACATCAGCGATCAGCGAGCAGAGTCGTCGATCGATTGCGCTGGAAACTGTGTGAAGGCCATGAAAGTGAACAAACTGGTCATAAACAGTTTGTTGACCAAAAATACATAGTTGGACCCCCACTTAACCACCTGGCGATCCGCAATTACAGGGCGGTAACTCATCTTTCTCCCGACCTTCGTCTGGGTTTTTACGACTAGAAATTTAAATGGGCGCTGAAACTGAAACGACAAAGCCAAGACCAACGCCAAACATTCGATTCGTATGCAAAGCAGTCAGCCGGCTGATTTTGGGTCACGGTCAATGGACCTGTGTAAGACTACGTATGTGTATAAAAAAAAGGCGAAAAATAGCGGAAATGGCAGCATCTCGTTGGGATTAGCTAACCGAATTCAAATCGCAGTGGGCAGCTTCTTCGAATACGAAATATCACATTCAAAACCATAACCCACGCAAGCCAATGCACTCTGGTGATCTCCGGAGCCAACACAATCCAGTTCCAGCTCCCCAATCTTCGGTCCGGTCCCCTGACATTGTGCAGTCAAAAGTCAAGTGGGATTAATTGGTATGCATAGACTTTTAAGCATATGTGTATTATATCTCTGTATCGGCCGTTGAGCTGGTCGAGTAAACTGCGCTGACCCTTGAGAGTTCGATGAATTTTAACATTTCGGATTGCACAATCGCCACTGACCAAGGGCAACCGGCCAATTAGAGTCGGTGGTGTCAGCCGTGAAGAAATCGGGCAGCGGACAGTGGACAGCGGGCAGGCCACTGGCCATTTTAGCCCAATATTTCGCTTACAGCCATAACCTGGTCAAAAATGCGGTTCGATGTGGCTAATTGACATCGTATCAACTCGGAATGCGCTTGGTTTCGGGTAGACAAATATTCAAGCTGGCTTATAAATGGCTTGAACGGGCGCAAGGGATCCTAATGTGAGATAGTTGAGACCATTGAGATTTATCGTCGTTCATTAAGTTCAAGTTTAAATCGATGATTAAAATCTCGAACAAGAAATATTTTACACAAGGTTTTTGTTTTGTTTACATATATTTGTCTGAATACAATTTGTATGTGTAACTAATTTGAAAATAGCCTTTTCAAATTGAATGACTTTATTTGATAATTTGTCTTAGAGAATATGGATTGTAAATAAGTTTGCTAGGAATGTAACATAATTTAAATGCATTTCTTGATTAGCCTTAGTTCAAATCAGCAGGAATTTAATCTTTTGAACAAAAAACTGGCGAACTATTCGAAGTTTTACTATAAGATCGAACATTAAAAATCATCTTAAGTATGCACTACAAGAATACGTGACCTTTGTGATTAAATAAGGTAAAGCCTTGTTTTTAGTGTGTAATTAAAAGGGAAATTCAGATCGTAAACATTTTAGGGAAATCGAATAAAAACTTGGCAGCTGTAGCTCACTAAAAGTGAAAGTGTTAATTGGACAGTTAGCGATTTAGGTTTTCATATCTTAAATTTAACACTTAATCCGCGATTTCATGGGTTCTGCCCTGTTGATTTTGACCGTTTAAATTGTGTAACATACTACTTAATTAGGAGGTGAATTGTGTAATAGAACATAGCAATTAACACGTCTTTTCCGCCTTTCAGTGCTCGAAACGGAGGTGCTGCAACAACCGAAGCTGAGCGGACCGGCGGCGACGGACTACGACTACCCATATGTCTGCGGACTCAGTTCGGCGATGAAGCAGGTGGCCAAGGAGGAGCTGCACGAGGACGAGAACATCCGGCGGCAGGCTCTGGCCCAGTTCCGGGAGTGGATCGAGAAGCATCCGCACATCCGGAAGTGCCGCACGGACGCCGTCTTCCTGCTGCGCTTCCTGCGGACCAAGAAGTTCTCCGTTCCGTCCGCCTGCGAAATGCTCGAGCGCTACTTGACCATCCGCCAGCTCTTCCCGCAATGGTTCAAGCAGCTGGACATCACCGACCCGGCCATCAACGAGATCTTCGAAAACGGCTACCTGGTGCCGCTGCCCCAGCGGGACTCCACCGGTCGCCAGGTCATCCTGTCCGTGGCTGCCAAGTTCGATCCCTACAAGGTAAGGATTCTTTATATTTGTACCCGTTACTCGTAGAGTAATGCATGAACGCATAGAAAATTCCGATAAAGCAGGCAGGTTCTAGGGATTCCTGCGCAGCGCAAGTTCTTTTTAGCCCAGTGCGCCCACATCTTAAAAGGTTTTGTTTAGAAAAAAATGTGTTTTTCTTTTATTTTCAAACCATTAATAAATAAGTTAAGATCACTTAAGGTCACTGCCAGTCTAGCAAGAATTAATAACTTATAGTTAACTTATAGTTATTTTGAAAAGAGAGTAACGGGTATCTTTTAATCGAGGGGTTGGATGTAGAATACAGAATATACACTATTAAAAATTTAAATTAATTAAAACTGCATTTCAGTTTACTTCGGTGCAAATGGCGCGGGTGCACAGTCTGATCTGCGAGGCCCTACTGGACGACGAGGACTCCCAGGTGGCCGGGTACGTGTACATCAACGATGAGAGCGGCATGAACATGGGCTTCGTCAGCCTGTGGTCCTTGACCGACCTGCGCAGCATCGTCAAGTGCATCCAGAACTCGACGCCCATGCGGCACAAGGAGACGCACTTCGTCAATATTCCCCACTACGCCAATCGGATCATCGAGCTGGGCGTGTCCATGCTGAGCGACAAGCTCAAGAAGCGAATTATAGTGAGTTTACTTTACGTTTAACCGGTGGGTAAAAGGGTATATTGCATTCGTTGAAAAGTATGGGATGTTACCAATTCGAGGGAAAATTTTCAAAACCTTTAAGCTTTGAAAAGCCAGTTGGAATTTGCATTGATGTACGTAAGAATTTCTGTGACAGGCCCCTCATTCCAAACTTTAATAGCCTATAAAAGCAGAGCAAAACAAGTGTTTAAAATTTTTTTCCATTCGTGGTTTTTTATTAGAGTTTAGTTATGTCCCCTTTTGATCTTGAAGTCTCGGTTCATAGCCTGCACGAAAAAAAGAAAAACAACACTTGTTAGATTTAATGTGTGTTATTGGTTAGTCAACCCTCTGCATCTCTTACATTTATTTTTACATATATCAACTTCAAGTTTTGCGGTCCTAGTAAATTGGCTGTATCGTATGTCTCCAGCTTCATTCCTTTAGAATTGTAGAACTCCAACTTGCTTAGGCGAAATCCATAGTTTTCGGCGTACTTTACCATCAGGCGCTTCAAGGGCATCCTCTTGCCAATGCGGAAAACTGGAACACCGTATGAAGAAACTTCCTGCATTTTTATAAATATTTTAGATTTATTTTTTGGAAAATTTTTGGATTTATATTCGCTTCTGTCGACTTGTTTGGTTGCTTTGGATTGAATAAGGATTGACTATAAGGAATGATTTGAATAAAGTGATGAAACAAGTCACGCAGCCTACTTTGACTGAATAAGAATCTTTTTGTGAATTTCTAACTATTTGGTAAATTTACTAGTGCATTTTTAGCTATTTTGGTATTTTATAATAGTATATAAATGACATAAAATAAATAATTTTAGTAACTAAAAGAAATTAAAAATTATTTGCTTTTTAGTTTGTTGTCTTTGCATACTTATTTTATTTCTTCTTTAATAGGTCCACAAAAATGTTGACATCTTGAAGACCAAGATTGATCCCGCTATCCTGCCGAAGGAGTATGGAGGCACAGTTCCCATTGCCGACATGATAGCCGAGTTCAAGCAGAAGTTGCTCCAGCGCCGGGCGGCAATCCTCGCTCTGGACGACATGCAGATCGAGATCACCAAGGATGCGGCTAATTTCGCTGGAAATGACATTGGCGACCTCGATGCCGGAGTGGTGGGCAGTTTTAGGAAGCTGGAGGTGGACTAGACTCCCCTTTCCCTTGTTGCTTAATCCCATCTCCTTAGGCTAAGCTAGGATAGTCAGGATACCATTGAGACAGTCGACAATACGCGCGGGCATGCACACTTCGTACCTATTTAAAAGCATCACCACTAAATTTTATAACCAAGGTCTCGCCGGGGATTATGTCTCACCGTTGTGGTTCATGTTTCTCCTATCCTCAGTACCCCAATAATGGATGGGGCTGTGGCTGAGTTTCCCAGTTGTATATTCCATCCATGCGTAACGTTATGTTAAATGAATGTCTATTTAAATATATGTATATACTTATTCTTGTGAATTCGAATGCTTGGTTTTTTTAATTTGTCGAATGGTAATTGATTTCTGGTAAGTTGGTCCATCTACATCGTATTAAAGTATAGGTAAGTTTTTACTTTTTAAGATCCGTGGCGGATCAAGGATTTCTAAAAAACCCCATGCAATAAATATCCCCAAAAATTACCCGTACCAAGTTAAATCTAAATTTTCGCACTTTAACGAAAAAGCTCTTTTAGAGTTTTTCGAAAACTAACTGCTATCAAATTAGTGGATCATAGCAACAGCATTGCTGAGAAATGCCAAGAAACGAATATTTGGACCTTTTGGTGGATGTGCCAAGTGTGTTCGGCGACACTTAACACTAGTTTACACAATCTTTTTTTGAAAATATGACGAGAATATATAGGCTACGTTAAAGTATTGTGGGCTACAAAAATTAACGTGCTCCACTAAAAAGTTGGCGTCCAAGCAAATCAAATAATCGCCAAACCAAATTTGGTCTACAATTTAAAAAAAATTCGTTTTTTTGAGCCATGTAAAGGGTTTGGGGTAATCCTGCAGGCTGTATTCGGGAATATTGGATATAGCTCAAATACTTATTACAATATTAAGCATATTTATATCTGTTACTCTTAGATAGCATACAGTTTTAATGCTAGAATAAAAGTTGTTACGGCAATGTATTGGTTTCGTCAATCATTATCGATTTACCTACAAAACAAATTTGCTAACGCCCAAATGCCAATATTGCTAATTAGGGCAGGCCGATTTGTATGGAGCCGAAAAAAGTGACAAGCCGTGTGGGAGGAACGTAATCTTTAAAGGATTGTGTGATTGCAATATTGTTGAAAAAACGTATGGTCTAAAATGGCAGTTGACTATAGTGCTCTCTTGTTTTAACAATTTAATTTTGTAATATATGTACATATGTTTAGCTCGGGCATGTATTACATCAATTTATTATGTTCAGAGTTTCTTATTCTGTTCCACGCTGCAGGGAAGTGGCTCCTAGGCAATTTCCAACGAGTAAGAAGGGTAACAGTCACTCCTTGAAAAGTTGCTGCCCGACTTTGTAGAGCCTGTATAAACGCGATGCTTCGTCAATAGAGATTCAGCAAGGAGAAGAGGCCCGCCATGGATGATTGCTTCCAGACTTCTGAGCCAGAAGAAGGTGTCTTAATAGAGGTTCTTTAAAATTGCGGATGATGTTCGCCGAGCAGCAAGGGGAGTCACTCCTTCGATGGTCGCTGACCGTCTTCGTTGAGCCAGTAGAAGAGTTCTTCTTCCTCAAGGGTGAATCGTCCGAACAGCTAGAAGGGGAGTCACTCCCTGGATAGTCCGTTCCAGACTTTGATGAGTCAGCAGATGATGGTTTCTTCAATACTTATTATATATATACATAATTATATTTTTTTGGTTTTTAGGTGAAAAATTTCCCTGAAAATTTGTGTAATTTTTTAATGGCATACAATTTTGTGCTCAAATATATTTTCGGTTCCAACATTTCTCATCAACACGTGCCAATGGATTCTGCTAATGCCAATGATTCGAAAGAATCCATATTGACGAAGAAGCCGCCTTCTGTTGGCTCAACGAAAAGGGCTTCTTCGTTAATATAGATTCTTAAGCATCACTGGCTTTCACAGGATCTATTAGGACGCGTCAATGAGAAATTTTGGAACCGAAATATATTTGACTACAAAAATGTATGCCATACAAAGTGCAAAAATTTTCTTGAAAATGGTTGACCGCCAAAAAAAAGAATTGTTCTGTACGGGTGCTTAGTTAAACTGAGCATGAAAAGTTCACAGCATAGCCAAATAGAAAAACGTTGAAGTCACAGCATACTTCTTACAAAACTTTTAAAAATGAACAAAGCTTCGGAACGAATTAGGCTTAAGAATTAGACTTGACTTAATAATTAAACTTTAGAAAACGTTCTCTTTTGGCACCCGGCAATAGAATAAGCTTTTGCACGCGTAAAGCTTAGATATTTTGCTGAAGCGGGCAGAATGAAAACATTTTGTAAAGTGTATTTATTTAGTCGAATATTCCAGCATTTTTCGTCACAAAATTTCATATCAGAACTTATGTATGTGCGATCGACACGACCCCTTATCTCCCTAAGAAGTGTTTTTATACCCTTGCAGAGGATATAATTATTTCAGTCAGAAGTTTGCAACGCATTGAAGGTGATCTTTCCGACCCCTAAAGAAAACATATTCTTGATCAGCATCACTAGACGAATCTAGCCATGTCCGTCTGTCCTTCTGTCCATTTTTACGCAAACTAGTCTCTCAGTTTTAAAGCTATCGGGATGAAGCCTTTCCAAAAGTCTTATTCCTATTGCAGGTAGAATTTAAGAATCCTATATCTCAAATAGGAATAATGAAGAAAAATATTATTTAAAAAATGTAAAAAAATTATAAATTATTTATTTCAACTCTTGGGAATATAAATCTATATATATTTCAGAACTTGGAATAAACTGCTATATGAACGATCATTTATGTCAAAATAACACAAAGACCGTTATATTTCGTTTTCGTAAAACATATACTGTAGTAAATTGAAATAGAACATTATTTTAATGTCTGTTATTAGTTTTTAGTTTTCTTAAAACCGGAAAGTTCTTTACATATGTATAATGCTCCCACGGGAACGACCTGCAAGCTTATAGAAATTTCGGCTTGCCGATGTTAGCTTCCTTGTTATTTGATATATGCAGAGCAGGAATGATAAGTAGGCCCTTGTTCTAGACTGTTACCAAATTTTCTAAACCTTTAAGCAACCAAAATCCGGTTGGAATTTTCATTGATGTACGTAAGAATTTCTTAAACAACCCCCTTAACCCAAACTTTAAAAGGCTATAATAGCAGATCAAAACAAGGAAGAACGCTATAGTCGAGTACCTCGACTATCAGATACCCGTTACTCAAAGGGAAATGGAGATATGCAAGCAGCAAAGCGAAATTAAAATGCGCCACCTACCGGCGGTAGACAGATTTAAGCGTTATGGGCGTTAGAGTGGGCGTGGCAAAATTATTTTTGGATCAATCGATAGGTATTGACGACACCAATACATTTCAGTTAAAATTTTTTATCTAGCATGCAAATTGTGGGCGTCACAGGTTTTCGCGGTTTGTGGGCGTTCAAGTGGGCGTGGCAAACTTTTTTTTAGGTCAATCGATAGGTATTGATGAGAACAATACATTTCAGTTAAAATTTTCTATCTAGCATCAAAACTGTAGGAGTTACAGTTTTGGGCGGTTTGTGGGCGTTAGAGTGGGCGTGGCAGTCTACTGAAACAAACTTGCGCTGCGTAAGAAGCTCAGGAATCTGTACGCCAAATCTCAATAGCCTAGCTCTCATAGTTTCCGAGATCTCAGCGTTCATCCGGACGGACAGACAGACGGACAGACGGACAGACGGACAGACGGTCAGACGGACAGACGGACAGACGGACATGGCTAGATCGACTCGGCTAGTGATCCTGATCACGAATATATATACTTTATGGGGTCGGAAACGCTTCCTTCTGCCTGTTACATACTTTCCGACGAATCTAGTATACCCTTTTACTCTACGAGTAACGGGTATAACAAGTGACTAAAACTGTTCTCTATTTGTTTCTCTTTATTAAAGTTTAGATAATACCCCTTTTAATTTCGGAGCCTCAGTTCATACCTTCATGAAAGAGATAAAATGAACACTTATTAGATTAAAAGTGTGTTCTTGGTTAGTCAACCCTTTGTAGCTCTTACATTTCGTTTTAGTTCTGTTTGACAAATATGACCTTCAAGTTTTCCGGTCCTAATAAGTAGGCCGTATCGTATGTCTCCAGCTTCATTCCCTTTAATGTGTAAAAATCCAACTTGCTTAGAGATAATCCATAATGTTTAGCGAACTTCACCATCACGCTCTTCAAGGGCATCCTCTTGCCAAGTCGGAGCTTGCAAACTTTTTTTACGTCTGGAACACTGTACATTAAGACTTCCTGCATTTCAACAAATTTTTTAGACAAATTTCTTTGAGATTATTAATTTTTATCAGTTCAATCGACTTGTTTGCTCGCTTTCGCTTGAACAATGTGTTGAAGTAAATCACTTAGCCTACATTGATCAGATGGAAATTATTTTATGAATTTATTGCTGTGTTTGATCTACATTTCTAAGTAATTGGTAAATTTACCAGTGCATTTTTAGGTATTTCAGTATTTCATTTAATAGTAAATCAATTGCACAATTTTAGTTTCTTTTAAAAAATTCACAAAAGTGTTAACATCTTAAAGTCAAAGATTGATCTCGCTATCCTGGTAGAACTGTTCCCACTGCCATTTTTCACTTGTTTTTGAATATTTTGTCCCACATTTTACCACTACTTTTCACTTTTTTGGATCTTGGCAAGTTCATGTTTTGTTTTTCTAATTCTTAAGATTCTAACAATATTTTATCGAAAATGTTTAATATTTTTTAAAAATTCGATGAAACTAATTTTTAGTCAGGACTTGAACCGTTTCTAATGGTATTAGTAAGGGTACTATCTGTTGAAGTGGTATGTTATGCCAGGTGTTATACGGCCACACTACACACTTCAATTTTTTGACTCTTGGCGCATTACGTTTTGTTATTTTTTATTGCGTTTTAGAAAGTTTAAAGGGAAATACTAGTGCTTACTGATGAATATCAACGATGGCGACTTTAAGGACCTGCGCTGCAAACTGGACATCATGGGTTTCACCCAGACACTGCCCGTTTTGGCCATTCCACTGGTTCAAGTAACATGCAAACCCTGTTAAATGTTAACTTTTTGGCATAACATATTGTTTATTGATATTGCAGGCCATTTTTGGTGACTTGATCAAGACCACAGAATGCCTGAGGGATACGAAAAAGAAGGTTGCCGAATTGCTGGAGGTGGGTAAATCATTTGCCTTAGAACCCTTTTGTTCCCTTACAAGTTGAGGGTACTCTAGTTTTGACTCCAGCCTTTGCGACGAGGTCACTTAGGCCTTATAATATACATAAT